AGCTAAATGATTGCCGAAGAAGTGAAAGTGCCCAAATCCAGAGCCCATAGCACAAACGACCAACGACCATCACTAGAAGTCCCTAACCCTCCAGGTACCTACTATAGAGGGTACTAGAGCCCCTAGTGCCCTATATAGTAGGTACCTGGAGGGTTAGGTAGTACCATCTTCAAGCTCGCTCTTCTCATCAGTATAGCCAGTATCATCTTCATCATGACTTTCCGCATTACCATCACCGTCGTCATCGCCACTCCGCTTATTTTTCATGGCCTTCGTTATTTTATCAACATGGCAGTCACTCTGCTTGTCCCCATGGCCTTCGTCGCTATTATCAACATGACCATCAGCACCAGCAGCATTACCGTCATCGTCGTGCGTTGCCTCTGTTGCTGCGTGACGGCGCGACAACTTCGACGAGGACTACTCTGCCGGTGACGACGATGACACCGTCCGTGTCGACTCCTGCTGCAGCCAATATGTTCGTGATGATGAAGTGACGGAGACAATGCACCGCACGGAGGCTATGGTGGTTGTGCTGTCCATGAGCTGCTCGTGCCGTGGAATGGAAACCTCACGTGCGTGTGAGTGGTTCCAGGCGAGGATGTGGGCTTCACATCCGGTGCTGCTGGAAGGTACAGCAGCCTTGCTGCCCTGTTTCGATCCGGTTCTGGTTCTGCCTGGATTCATCGCTCAGGGTTTTTGGGTTCAGATCAGGAGGTCCGGAATTTGGCAAGATTTATTCTACTCAAAAATCACGGTGTTGATATTGATCCGAAGATGCTAGGAAGATGCTGTCCTTGAAGCCCTAAACCCCCAAAGCTGAAAACTCCGTAAACAGGTGTCTGAGTTGTGGGTGCACTCGGTCGTGTCTGATGTCTTTCTGAGTTCTGTGTGCAAAGGACTGCACAAAAATAACCAGCTCAACGTATTCAGTTGATTGAGACCAGCGCGCTTGAAAGGTGTCCAGCTGGAAGTGAACACACAGTTTCATTCCAAACATGAGATGCCGGATTTCAGTGCATGGCTTCTACGTCTTTGGGCAGGCCATGGCCCTAATGGTTCCGAGACTAACATATGAACATTGACAATCAGAGCAGGGTTTGGAGGAATGTTATACTACCCAAACATAAGGAGTTTAAGGAAATAGTAGGAATTTTTGAGACCCCTATTTTAGAACCAGACCTGTTCATAGCGGTGAGCCATGTAGCAGAGTGAAACCGAGCAATCGTCAAGAAGTCCTGAACTGCCAGAGACCCGAAGAAACTCAGTACAGCTGGAGTTCCTGCAGCCGCGTTGTTTGTCTGCGTGTTGCTCTGCCAGTATCTGCTTAGCTATGCGTACATGCCAGCATGCGTTGTCCGCTTGTGCTGGAAACCTGCTGCTATGTGTGCGTGCGCGCGCACGCTTGCGGGTGTGTGTTTGTGTGTGTGTGTATGTGTGGAACTCTTGTTTTTAAGGATTTCGTTGATCTTCGATGGTTTCATTGAGATTAACAAGGCTGAATCAAGTTTCTTCACCATCAGAATTCACAAGAAAAAGGTTCTTCATTCATAAGAAGAATCCAGGGGGCTGGCGGCCTATTCCGTGATGCCAGCCAACGAAGCTAGCGGAATAGGTGGAAGAAGCTATAGACGCTTAGCTCTGTACCTGCAAGAGTTTCACACATCGAGAGAGAGAGAGAGAGAGAGATGATTAAATAGATAATTAAATAAATGGATGCTTAAACACATGAATATCTCTATATATATATATATATATGTAGTATAATACATACATACATTCATACATACATACATACATGCATACATTTTGGGAGCCCTGAGTTCCAATAAAGACAAATTTGTTGGAGTATGGCAACTACTGAAATCGTCTTTCTGCAAGTAGTTGAAAAGGTTTCCTCAGGCTCCGTAATCATATTCGGACGACGACATCAAGACGACGAAATCGACAAGATTCAGGCCGTGTGAATGTTGGCAACCGGCACAGACCGGGATCTCTACAGGTACGTGTGTGTGTGTGCGCACGTGCATGCATGCGTGTGTGTGTGTGTGTATGCGCGCATGTATGCAAGTCTGTCAG